GGTTCAAACCCACCAGCCACTCCTTGGAAGAAAGACTGGGCAATCTACTTCTGTAGAGATACTGCCTCGGAAACCCAAGGAGGGGTCACTACATGTCAAATCGACTTGATGGCAGTGAGTTTCGTTTTGTTTTTTTGGTATCTGTGGTATGGGGTTGGGAATGGAGACGTGTGGCATGTGGTGGCTTGTGAAGAAGATAGAGCAGTTATAAATGTTTTTTGCAGCTTCCTTCCTTTTGGTTCAGTAGACAGTGTATTTAGCCGTTGGTTGTGGTTTGGGGTTGTGGATATTTCTACATTTCATTGAAGAAGGGGTTTTGTTTTCCTCTTTATTTTTCATAGTTCAGGTTGTTTTTAGATGGTTTCCTAGTAAGGAGTAGAGTGAAAAACTACTTATTCTACTTTCAACTATAGCTTTCTTATCTCTAGCATCTTGCTTTTAGTACTGTTGTTAAGACTTTACATGTTTTGTTAATGTGCAGGTCATATTAATTCATTATATATATATGTATGTATATATATATTGTGTGTGTGTGTGTGAAAAAAATCTGAGAAATGCAAAAATACTTTTACCCATTTGCCTTTATTCAACAGATAAAATTCTAGATTAAAGTTTCTTTTTCACAGAGTAAATTTTTCTAATAATTCTGCTGAGGTTCTAATTTATTTCACATCAGAAATAATAACTCGTTTGAATCCTTATAGAGATTTTATTTACATTCTTCTCATATTTTGTTGTCCTCAGGTGCACCCTCAGCTGAATTCTTAGACTCTCCAGTTACAGCCGTGGACCACATGTTTGTAAAAGCATTTCAAGCATCATCTAGTTCTTCACAAACAAAACCAACAGATGGTAATGAAATTGAGGAAATAGTTTTGGACATAGGAAATATGAATATAGGTCTTTGAATCATTTTCTAAATTTCTTTTCTTCCAATATCACTCAATTTGATTTAAAATGAATCTTAATGATTAGACTTTTCTTTTACATTAGCCAGGCACTGAGGAAAAGTAAGTGACTTCGTTTTGTATCAGGGAAAACCCTGAGAATTATGAGGTTTCTGATAAGAGTATTAATTTGAACTTGTAAAATCTTCTGGTTCAGCTTGTTGCTCTGTGATAATAGATTAGGAGAGCCCTCTAGTGGACCAATTGCTTTGATCCTTTGGGTTCTCTCAGAAGGGATGTAGCCCAGTGGTGATCATAGGCTAGCAAGATGTGATCATTTATAAATCAAGAGCACACAGACTTCATTCTTCAGCAGTTATATTCTGCTTCCTTTACTGAAAACAGAGTAAAAACATTGAAGGAATTAGTATGACTCATTAGGTGTTTGTTATTTAAAAACTACTTTTAAAATTATAATTTTCTTGGATTTACTTGTATTTTCCAAAAGAGAGTTTAAGGCTGCTTACAAAAACAACATACAGTGAAGTAATGATAAAATATACGTAAAAATTAGAAATCAAACGCAAGTAAAAAGACCCAGTTGTGCCAGCTTTCAAGGTTGATATAATTGCTGCACTAAGCTTCAGTTTTGACTGAGCAGAGTGGCAGTCAAGTCACCCAAAAAAGTGGCATCCAGTTGCATAATTTTTCTTATTAGAGGAAGCATGAATTCCTTGAGCTCTGGTAGCATAGTGCCTAAGGCACTTGACTGCTAACCAGAAGGCTGACGGTTCAAATCC